AAATCAAAAAAAAAAAAAAAAAATCAAAGAACGAGGAATAAGCACCATTTCATAGTGCAGCCACGCTGCCGCGCCGCGACCCGCCCGCGCAGCGTACGCCCGCCAAACGCGCGCGAGGCGCGCGCCCGCCAGCGCGGCGCGCGCGCCGGCCGAAGGATGCATGTAGACACGGAGACGCGCTGCGAGCCGCCGGCAGACGGCGCGGCAGCTCGCGGCTCTCCTCAAAATGTATCTAATCAATTAAATTAGTGCGCAAACAGATTTTAATGGTGTCGCGAAGACCCTGACGACCGGCTCCGATTTCGAGATTCGGCAGAGCTAGATTCTACGCGGCCCATGAGTGGCGGTTCGGTGAACTCGTACCACGGACAGATCAAAGATGGGCTGTTTCACGGCGAAGGCAAACTCGAGTACAACCAAAACGAGCGGTACGAGGTAAGTGCGCGGCGCGCCGCCGCAGGGCCAGTTCTTGTTTGGCAAGCGCCACGGCAAGGGCAAGTTCACCTACTCGGACGGCTCTAGCTACGACGGCGAGTGGAAGGAAGACAAGCTGCACGGCTTCGGCGTCGCGCTCTTCGCCTCCGGCAACGTCTACGAGGGCGAGTGGGTCGACGGAAAAATTTGCGGGCAGGGCACGCTGACGTACAAGTCCGGCGACAAGTACGAGGGCGAGTGGGTCGACGGCAAAATGCACGGCTACGGCCGCTACGCGTACGCCGACGGCGACGTGTACGTCGGCAACTGGGCGAACAACAAGCGCCACGGCTACGGAAAAGTCAACTACAGCGGGCAGGGCGACGACGCGCCCGAGTACTACGAAGGCCACTGGCACGAGGGGCTCATGCACGGCGAAGGCGTCTACCGCTACACCAACGGCGGCGTCTACGAAGGCGAGTGGCGCGACGGCGAGATGCACGGGCACGGCAAGTTCTACTACCCCGATGGCAACGTCTACGACGGCGAGTTCGAGCACGACTTGAAGTCGGGCTTCGGCGTGCTGCTCTACGCGAACGGCGAGCGCTACGAGGGCGAGTGGAGCGAGGACAAGGCCTGCGGCCGCGGCTCGCTGACCTTTCGCGGCGGCGACAAGTACACCGGCGAGTGGTTCGACGCGAAGAAGCACGGCCACGGCGAGCTGCGCTGCGCGAACGGAGACACGTACGTCGGCAACTGGGCCGACGACAAAGCCAACGGCTTCGGCGTCTATACCTACGCGAACGGCATGCGCTACGAGGGCGAGTGGAAGGACGACAAGCGGCACGGCAAGGGGCTGCTCTACTGCCCCTTCGACCAGTCCGTCTACGACGGGCTCTGGAGCAACGGCTACCGCGACGGCGAAGGCGAGCTGATGCTCGTGAACGGCATGAAGATCAGCGGGCTCTGGAAGAACGGCGTACTCGCCGCGGTGAACCACCTCGACTTGCCGACCGACTCGCCCTGGAACAACCCAGAGCTGTGACCCAGAGCTGTGAAAATGCAGGCGATTATTTAAATTTATTCGGACCGAGCGCGGCGCTGATCACGCGACATGCAGGAAACAGACGTACGTTTCGCCGGCGACGGCGCAGCACATCGCAGAATTCTTGTCCTGCGGACAGGAGCAGATCGAAAGTTTTTTCGCGGACGGCGAGTTCGCGCAGCAGCAGCTGCGCGAATGCCAGAGCTTCTTCGCGGACGCCGCGGGAAGCGCGTGGCTCGCGAGCTTTCGCGAGGCGCTGCGCGCCGAAGCAGAGCCGGCGCTTGTCGCGACCGTCCTCGAGCGCGGTGCGGCGCTCGCGGCCGACGTGCCGCTGCTGCACTACTTCGTCGCGTGCGTCGCATTCTTCCACAATAACCTAAACGCGTTCGCCGCGGCGCAGCGCGGCGTGCAGGACGAACCCGGGCTGTGCTGCACGCTGCTCTCAGACTTCCTCGAGTACCTGCGCCTGCTGCTCATCGGCCGCGCGGCGGACGCCGCCAGCTGGCTCAAGGAGAACGTCGCGCCCTTTTGCGCGAACAAGCTGCTGCTGCAGCAGCTCGGCGCCGGCGCCGTGCCCGAGTTCGCACCGGCGACCGGCCCCGCGACCGGCCCCGCGAGCGACGCAGACGACGACGCTGAGCGCTTCGCGCAGTTTCTCAAAAGCCATCTCAAAGCGTAAGTGCGCGCCGACGCGCCGCAGCAACCCAAACACGGCCTCCGCCGCCGCGCTCGAAGAGCTGCTCAGCTGCTAGAGCCGCGCGCAAAAGCGGCGCGCAACAGCGGCGCGCAAAAGCGGCGCGCAAAAGCGGCGCGCAAAAGCGGCGCGCAACAGCGGCGCGCAACAGCGGCGCGCAAAAGCGGCGCGCTAAAACCACGCCAAGAGATCTCGCGAAAGCGACCAGCTCTACGCCGCAGCGGCGCCAGTCGCGGGTGCGCAGTTGGGAAAAACTACGGTGGGGGAGAATTGAACTCCCGATCTTCTGCGTGTTAAGCAGACGTCATAACCTCTAGACCACCACCGCTCGGATGACTCGAGCGGAGCTGAGGCGGGCGCGTGTTCTAGAAATTCGCTACGATTGGGGAGATTCGAACTCCCGATTTTCTGCGTGTAAAGCAGACGTCATAAACCCCTAGACCACAATCGCGGAAGCGATTCGCCGCTCCGGCAGCGCGCGAGGCGCGCGTGACGCGTTCTCGGCGCGCTACAGAAGCGTCTTCAGCTCAAAAGTCGCGGTCCCGACGTGCGGCGGCTTGCCCACGACGAGCCCCGCGGCGGGCGTGCGCACGTTGTCGCGCGCGCCGCGCAGCACCGCGTCGGACAAAAACTTGAGGGAGCTCTCGAAACTCATTTGCAGGAACGGGCTGCTGTTCGCTTCAATGCCTTTGCGGTTGAACGCGGCGCAAGCGCCACTGTGCGTCATGTAGTCCGCAATCAGCGAGAAGTGCCGGTGGTCCACCTTGATGCCGTAACTGCCAAACACTTTGCGCAGCTCGTGGATCATGCACGTGCGACCCGCTTCGATTCCGTAAAGCTCGACGACGTTGCGCACGTCGTTCGTGTACACGTTCGCCAAATCGACCAGCTCCGGGTCCAGCCCGTTTATGAACGCGATGTTCGTGCCCTGTGCCTGTATCTCGAAGTAGTGCTCGCGGTCACGCTCGCCGCTGCTGCGGATCGGCAACACGCAGCTGTGCGCGAGCTTGCGCACCGCCGAAAGCTTCACGCTCTTCAGCGCCTTCGCGATGAACGGCAAGAAGTCCACTGGCTTCGGCAACTTCTGCTCGGGCACAACCAGCGAGACAAAAAGCGCGTTGGCAGTCGGGTCGAACTCCGCGCGTCGTACGAAGTTCGCGAAGTGCTTGGGGATCCCGCCGAAGTTGCAGCGCAGGTGCACTTTGCGCGGGCGCAGCGGGTCGCCGCTCGGCTCCGCGTCGCCGCTCGGCTCCGCGTCGCCGCTCGGCTCCGCGTCGCTGCTCGAGGCCGACGCCTCGCCGTCGGAGTCTTTAGCGCCGGCCGCCTCGCCGTCGGAGTCCTTCGCGCCGGCCACCTCGGACCCGCTCGCCTCGAGCTCGCACTCGGTGCGGCTCGAATCCGGCTGCGCGTCGCTCTCGCCGTCGGACTCGCTAGCGCTGCCGCTCCCAGACGAGCTCTCGCTGCTGCTTAAACTCTCGCCGTCTGTCGCAGCTGTGCGCGCGGCGCCGCGGCTTTCGGCAGCAGAGGCTTCGTCGCTCGAGTGCGCGGATTGCGCAGCGAGCTCCTCGTCGCCGCCCCGCTTGTCCGGCGACGCTTCCACGCCAAAATCTGTGCCGTCGAAGGAAGTGATACCCGCGGCGGACAGCGCGCCCTTCAGCGAGCCTTTGGTCAGCTGCCGCTCGCGCACGCGGCGGACCACGAGGCTTTGGAACGCCTCGGTCGCCAAGTTGTCGAGCGGCGAGAGCAGTTCATCTTCCGTCTTGAACGCGACCACGGCCACGAGCCGGCTAACGACCTTCGCTAGCTCGAGCAGCACTTTGTGCACGCAAAAACTCACGAGCTCGGCCTCGACAAACTGCGGGTTGCACGCGCAGAAAGCGGCGAAGCTCTCGAACTGGAACACGAAGTCGTATGCGTACGCCTTTGCTACCTGCGCGCAGTCGCCGGCGGCCGCGCACGGCTGCAGCTCGGCCAAGTCGTGCAGCGCCTGCGGCTTCGCCTCGAAGCAGAGCGCTGTGTCGAGCCCGACGGACGCGAGCAGATCCGCGAGGCTGACGCTCTGCATCGCGTCGACGACTTGCAGCGCGCGCGCGTACGCCTGTTGCGGCGAGGCGCCCTTCACGGGCACGCGCACGACCGGCGTCGAGGTGAGCCCGCCGGACTGCAGCAGCTCGCGCAGCCGCGGAATGCCGAGCGTCACGTTGGCCTCGCCGTGTCCGGCGAGGTGGAACGTGTTCAGCGTCATTTGCGTCGCGGGCTCGCCGATCGACTGTGCAGCGAGGCAGCCGACGGCCTCGCCCGGCTGCATGAGGCTCGCAACGTACTTCAGCTTCAGCACGTTCGCGAAGTCCGACGGCGTCAAGCCCGCGACGCAGCACTCGCGCGCGTCAGCCAGTTTAAACAAGTTCTGTACGGTGGCGGTGAATTTCGGCGAGACCAGCCGGAAGAGCGCCGGCTCGGTCGCGCGCGCGCCGCCCGCTTCGGCGCCCGACCACGCGGTGCTCTCGCCGCAGTCCGTGCTTTCCGCGGCCGCGCGCGCGCCGCCTTTCGCGGTCGAGACGCCTGCGTACTTGTACTTCAGCAGCGCGGCGTTCAGCCGCAGCAGCTCGAGCGCCGCCAGGTACGGCGCCTTCGTCGCGTCAATGCCGTCCTCGCCGTACGCGAACTGCACGATCGACTCGTCGCCCTTGCGTACGGTCCAGTCGTACGCAACGAGCGTGGACTCTAGGTTCTTCATGATGCAGCGCTGCAGATAGCCGCTGCTCGCCGTCTTGACCGCGGTGTCGATTAGCCCCTCGCGGCCCGCCATGCAGTGGAAGAAGTACTCGGCCGGCCGCAGCCCCAGCAGAAAGCAGTCAGTGACCAGACCACCGGCGCGCGCGCCGAGGTCCCAGCGCTCGAAGCAGGGCAGCGTCTTGCCGGACACCATGACGGGCACGCGCTTGCCTTCGAGCGTCTGCTGCGCGAGCATGCTGCAGATCATGCTGAAGTTGATTTTGGAGCCTTTCGCGCCCGTGTAAATCATGCAGCCGAACCCGTTGCGCGGGAAGCGGTACAGCAACTCCTTGCCCGCGACGAGCTCCAGTGCTTCGTTCGCGACGTGCGGCAGGTTCGCCATCATGAACGCGTCCATCGCGCCGACGAAAAAGCGCGCCGCACCAGAGAAGTGTTCGGAGATCAGCTGCGTAAGCTTCGCAGCTGAGAGCGCCGTGTGGCCGGGTAAGAAGGGCTGTGGCCCCGGCGCTGCGTTTTCGGCGAGCACGCTGCGCGGCAGCTCGGCGGTCCACCCGGGGAAGTAGCGCAGCGGCTGCGGCACGGCCGCGTTCGTCGCTCCGGCGGCGCCCGGCTCTACAGCGGGCGCGCCAAGCACTGTACGCAGCGCGTCTGGGTCGGCTTGCGAGAGCAAGTTTAAGCAGCGCACGCGTTCGCGGCGGTCCGCGCCCACGCGGTCCGCGGCGTCGCGCAGCGCTTTGGCCGCGTTCGCGGCCAAAGCGCCAAGCGCAGCCTCAGCCGCGGGCGCGTCGCCAGCGAGCGCCTTGCGCAGCGCGGCGCCCGCATCGAGCCCGCGCCGCGCGCAAATCTTCTCGATGAAGAGTTCTTGCAGCGCGTTGCCTGCGAGCGCCACCTTGTCGCAGAGCGCGCGTCGCGTCGCGGCCGCGCTCGGCAAGTACTCGAAGTCGCCCGCGCAGCAGGTGAACCCGCGCGACTGCAAGAACGCGCTAAACAGGCGCGAGAACGCGGAAAGCAGAATCCCCGCCACGCGGAAGTCGAGCAGCTCCTGGCAGAGGTGCACGAGCCCGTAGAGCGTCGAGCCGAACTGGTTCTTGTCGAACACGCCCTGCAGAAGCTCGCTGTTGCGGATGACCACGCGGCTCTCTTCGTCGTCGCCGTCGAGCGCCGCGTTCCACGCGTCGCCGCTCGTCCTGCTCTTGCTCTCGAAGTTTACGCCGGCGTACTCGGCTGCGAAGCGCGAGAGCCCGGCGCCACCGTACAGGCGCCGCGCGGCCGCGTCGACCAACGTCTTCAGCACGCAGCTGACCACCTGCTTGCCAGCCCACAGCCGTCGCGGCTTCCAGATGCAAGGCGGCTCGATCACCAACTCGAAAAGCGCGCCGACGCGGCCAGCCGGCGCGGCCGAGTCGCCGCCTGCGCCGACGACCACCGTCTGCGCAGACTTCAGGTACGAGAAGAGACCGCGGTACAGCAGCTGCGAGAGAGCCTCGAACGAGAGAAACGAGCCGCGCACCGTCAGCAGATTGCCGGCGACCACGTGGTCCTGGATGAGCCCGCGTAGCGGCTCGCCGTTCTTCGGGACGGCGTAGTGGCAATCTGCGTTGAGCAGCTCGCGCGCCTCGCTCTGCGCGAGGCAGTCCTGCAAACAGTGCAGATTCATTTCGTCGCCGTCGAAGTCAGCGTTGTACGAGCTGCAATTCGCGTAGTGCAGCCGGAACGCGCGCTCGCTGCCCAGCACGCGCACGTAGTGCGCCAGGATCGACGGCCGGTGCAGCGAGGGCTGCCGGTTCATCAGCACCACGTCGCCGTCCACGACGTGCCGGAACAGTACGTGGTTCTTGCTGCTGAGTCCCTGCGCGAACCGCGCGACCTGCTGCCGCATGTCCGCGCACAGCCGCGCGCGTTCCGCGTCGGTCAGCGCGCGCACGCTGAAGTCAACTCTGCGGCCCTGCAGGTCTTGGTAGCCCGCGCAGCCGGGGTAGCGTTCCGCGCCGTTGCGCACCAACTGCTCCGCGCGCGCGAGGTTGTACTGGTTGACGGGCATCGGGATCGTCAGCTTGCGCGCGAACTCCGCGGGCACGCCGACTTCATTCGTGTCGAGCATGCAGTCGGGCGCGATGATCGTGCGCGCCGCGTAGTTCACGCGCTTGCCCATCATCTTCTGCCGAATCACGCCGGACTTTTTCTCGAGCCACTGCCGCAGCGCCGGCAGCGCGCTGCGCGACGGCGACTTTGTGGCGTCGTACAGACTGTTCACCGCGACCTGCAGCTGCTGCGCCGCGTTCCAGAGCGCGTTGAAGTTGTGCGCGGAGTCGCGGAAGAAAGCTTTGCGCTCCGCAGCCTTCTTGAGCCCCAGTATTGCAAGGCTGCCCGCGTCGATCGTCGCGCCGAGCTGCTCCGTGAACTCCTCGCCGCTCGCGCTCTCGAGCGCGACGAGCCGCGCTCGGACCGCATGCGCGGCGCGCAGAATCTCAAGCAGCATCGTCGTGCGCGGGTGCAGCACCGTCGTGCCACGCCCGTGTGACTTCATCAAAGTGCGGAAGTTGTTCGAAGAGACCGGGAGCATGCGGCACAGAAACAAGTCGTGGCCCACGCGCTCGGCCACTGGAAACAGGAACTGCAGCAGCCGCGCGCTGCGGCCCGCAAACAGTTGCCGCAGGTACGGCTCCAACTGGTACGCGAGCAGCTGCAGCACTAATACCGGCCGACCCTTCTTGCTGTACTGCCGGAAGCCGTGTTTCAATCGTTCGACCGAAAAGTCGTCGACTTTCCGCCGCAGTTCCTGCATCGCCGCGCTCTCCGTGCACCCCGGCGCGGGCTCGACCAGTCGCGCCAGCGTTGCGGCGCGCAGCGGGACTGACGCGTTGAACGAACACTGCGCGATCAAGTGGCTGTGCAGCGCGTCCGGCTTGAACGCGAGCGGGTTGTTCGCGCCGCAGCACGCACAGCGCGTCCGCCGCGCAGCGTCCAGCACCGCAGCCTTCAGACTCTTCCACTTGGTCAACACCGCGTTGCACCGGCTCAGACACGCGGCGACCGACGTACCGGGCGCCTCGCGCAGTGAGGCGACCTTCGCTTCCAGCGCGAGCAGCTCCTCGTAAACCAGCCGCGACTCGTCGGCCTCCGCGCGCGCCTCGAGCGCGCGCCGCTTCGCCAGCAGCTGCGCGTAGCGCTCCGCGTCCGTTACCTCCTCCGCCAGCAGCAACGCAAACTGGCCCTCGAACTCAGCCAGCCGCTCGTCCGCGAAGGGCAGCTCGCAGCACGCGAGGCAAACGCAACTCAGCAACTGCGCGAGCTGCGGCACGAACAGCGGGTTGAACAGCGGCAGCGGCAGCGCCATGTGGCCCAGATGGCCGGGGCAGGCAGCGCGCTTCCGGCAAAAGCCGCAGGGCTGCTTGAAGTCCAAACAGCCGAGCCGCGCGTCGTGCAGTCCGTGCGCGTGTGGCTTCTCTCCGTCGAAGATGACCGTCGAATTCACCTCGCACACGCTCATCCCCAGCACGTCGTTGTCGCTGAGCACGTCGAGTGTCGCGGCCGTCACGGCCGCGTCCACGGAGGCCAAGACGTGCGTCGCCATCGCGGTCTATTTTTGATTAAGCGAGATAAATTCGAAAGCCGTTTAAATCGAGCTCTCTCGGTGCGCCGCATCGCCGCTCTCCAGCACCGCGCGCACGCAGCGCGCGCGCGGGTCTACCGCCAACCAACGCTGTGCTGCTTCCAGCCGCACGCCGCGCAGCCCAAGTCGGTACGGAACCACCGCGCACAGCGCCAGCGCGTCAGAAAACGGCAACTCGGCGGCTGCCGCAAACGCGGCCGCGGTCTCTAGCGGTGCGCGCGCCTCGAGCGCGTCGCCTGCGCGCGCGCCGAGCAGCGCCGCCGGCGCTGCGCCGCTCAACACGCAGCGCGCGCCGGCGACGCCGCGCACCAGCTTCGCAACGGCGGGATGCGCGACTTCCGGATGCGGGCTAAACGTGCAGAACAGTTCCGCGCCGGCAGACTGCATGAACGCGCCGACGAGCCCGGGGTCGCGGTGGCGAAACGCTCCGCAACCTTGGTAAAACAGCAGCACCAACTTCAGCCCGATGCTGCGCAAGTACTCTGCGCGCTCGTGCGAGACTTGGCAGTTCGCGAGCGCCGGCACGACTCCGTGCGCGCGGTACAGCTCTGAGAACTGCAGCGCAAACTCGCCCTCCGGAGGCAGCGTCGCTACCGCGACGAAGTCGATGTCGTCCTCGAGCGCTGCCGCCAGCTCGTTCGGCAGCGGAATGACCGGTTGCGCGAAGTCGACGCAGAGGCAGACGCCTGCGACACGCAGCGCACCGCGCGCGGTCTTGCTCGCGTTACGCTCCTTGTAGAAGCGGATGTGCGCGCGCGCGTGCTCGTCGAAGCGCACAACGGGCACTGCAAAACCGACGTGCGCGGCTTCCAGCGCGTCCAGCACGGCCGCGCCGCACGCCGCACGCTCCGGCGTCACCGCGCCGGGTGGCAGCGCTTCGACGCCGATTTCCACGAATGGCGGCACGAGCACGCAATCCGCGAAGTCGGCCGCCGCGACTGCTGCCGCCTGCGCCGCCGCCCTGCCAGTGCGCAAGTCGACGGTTTCCGTGCGCAGCTCGAGCTCCGGCGAAAAGCTCTGCGCGCGGCAGTAGTCCGTGGTGACTTTTTCCGCTTCCATAATTACGCGGGAAAAAAGCGCTGCGCGCTATGTCCAGTAGCTGATCGCCCAGCAGGCGCCGTCGCTTTCGACGACGTGCCATGCGCCGCGGGGCACGTGCAGCACGTCGCCGGCAGCCAGCGCGAACTCCGCAAACGCCAAGCCGCGGGCCGCCGCGAGCCGTCGCGCCGCGGGCAACGACGTCGCGCGCGCGATTGCGCGCAGTGCTGCCGACGGCGCAGCACCTGCGCCGACTAGCCACCGCTTGCGCCCCGCAAGCACCGCGTAGAAATTGTCGTACGGGTCCGTGTGCGCCGGAGAGAAGCTCGCGGCGCAACTCAGCCACCAGTTCTTGAGAGCCGCGCCGCGGCGCACGCAGCGCGGCCAGACGCGGACGCAGTCGCCTAGCTGCGCCGCCGCAAGCGCCGCGGGCGCCGTGTCCGCCGCGTACGCGTTGAGCGCTGCGACCAGCGCGTCGACGGGCAGCCAGAAGTTTGCGCCCAGATGCGCGCCGAGGTCGTACTGCGCGAGGTACGACGCGCCGCTGCCGAGCTCTCCAAGTCTGCCGAACTTCAAGTCCCACTGCGCGGCGAGGTAGCTGCAGTTGCGCTCGAGCGGCACGAAGCGCTCCGCGCCGCGCCGCAGCAGCGTCGCACCGTGCAGCAGCGCCTGCTGCAGTGCCGCGCCAGACACGAGCGCTTGGACTTGGAACGGCTTCCGCGCCGCGCGCAGTCGCGCTGCGTCTGCGAGAGTGATCTGCGCGTCAGATACGACTAGCGCGTGCGCGCTTGTGCCGAGCGCGACCGGCGCCGCCTCGTCGCGCGCGGCTGCGGCGAAAACGCGGCGCAACAGCTGGCTTGCGCCGCGCGAGGCGGCGGACGCGCCGCTGCGGCGCAGCGGCAAAGCACCATAGAAGCCGCCGCGGAGAAACGCGTCGTACAGCTGCATGCCGTTCACGGAGAATAGCAGCCGATCGAGCGTGAAGAGCGGCAACTCCCGCGCGGTTGCGCTCAGCAGCAACGCCGCTGCGCGCAACAAGCAGTCCACGGCGCGGCTGCGCAGCAATTGCTTGCGCAGCAGCAAGTGCAGCAAGTACTCGAACAGCGGAGCGTCGCCGCGGCAGCACGTGTCAGAACGAGGCGCGCGCGTTACCGCAGCGTCGCCGTCAGCGTCGCCATCAGCGTCGCCGTCAGCGTCGACTTTAGCGAACGGCGCGTCGGCGTCAGCGAACAGCGCGTCGAACAGCGCGCAGCGGGCGTCCTCGCGCGCCACGGAAAAATCCTGGTAGATCGCGAACTTCAGCTCGGCGACGTCGCGCTGCGCGCACTGCGCCAGCGCCGCTGCGGCGGGCGCGACGCAGCGCGCTAAACTTCGCAGCGCCGCGCGCTCGCCGACGCGGCGCAGGCGAAACAACGCTGCAACGCGGCACACGGCGCGAAGCAGCCGCGCCGCGCTCTGGCGTTCGTTCTGGCGTGCGCGCGGCGCGCCGCGCGACTCAACGCTCGGCAAAATGGGAACGCAGCGGCGGCCACATGCAAAATTAATTTTCGATTAAAGCGACTTTGTATGTCCAGCCAACCGCTCGATGGAAAGACCGTAAGTTCCTCGGCGCGCCACGCAGCGGAAACGCCTTCTGAGAGACTTCCGCAGCATCGTAGAAAGCCAGCCCGAAGGCGTCAACGCGACGCCCTGCGACAACAACTTGCTCGAGTGGGAGGCGCTAGTGTTTGGCCCGGACGACACGTGCTGGGAGGGTGGCGTGTTCATGCTGTCGATGAGTTTCCCGCACGACTACCCAGACACGCCGCCGACGATCAAGTTTCTCACGAAAATCTACCACCCAAACGTGTACGCGGACGGCTCGATCTGTTTGGACATTTTGCAAAAAGAGTGGAGCCCCGTGTACGACGTTTCGGGGATTTTAATCTCGATCCGCTCGCTGCTAGACGACCCGAACCCAGAGTCGCCCGCGAACGCCGAAGCGGCGCGCACCTTTGTCAGCAACCGCCGCGAGTACCAGCGCCTCGTGCAGAAGTGCGTGCAGGCGAGCCTCGAGGCGGCGTCCTAGCGCGCGCCGCTAGTAGTAGGGCGGCCCGGGCCGCTGCGGCTTGTGTTTGAAGCGGTTGCGCAGCGTGTTCATGCTTTTCTTGCTGTTCGCGTTCATCAGCTCGACGACCATCGCGTTCGCCTGGCACAGCTGGATTGCGCGCTGCACGACCAGCGGGTTCAGGTAGTTCGGCGGCACGAAGTGCTTCGACAGCAGCAGCTCTGCGCCGGCGCGCCGCGCACTTACTTTTGTAGTACTCGACTTTGTTGATGAGGTGCTTGCGGCCCGTGTTGTGCTGCTTGCGCCCCGAGGGCGAGGAGTGCGACAAGTGCAGCTGGCAGTACTCGCAGTAGTAGCGGCCCATCGCGCGCAGTTCGCTCTGTGCCCGGCTCCGGCAAATTCGAAATAATTAGCAGAAAAATGCGCAGCGCCAGCTGCGCCGCTTTCGCAGCTGCTATCGCGGGCGCTATCGCGGGCGCTAGCGCGGGCGCTAGCGCGGGCGCTGCGCAGCCGTGCGCGGGCGCTATCGCGGGCGCTGCGCAGCCGTGCGCGCGCGCTATCGCGGGCGCTACTCGTCGCCGCGGAGCGTGACGCGGAACTCGTAGTTCTCGAGGCACAGCTCGTGGCGCAGCCCTTTTTCGAGCTCCGCGCCCGAGCGGTCGAGCTCGACGCTCTTCACGGTCACGCCGCTCAGCGAAAACCGCTTGAGCGCGCCGCCGACTAGCACGCGGAACGCGCTCGCCGCCGTGTGCAGCGTCAGCTCAACGCCGCGCTCGTCGAGCTCGCCGACGCAGAAGAGCAGCGCGTCGCCCTCGCGCCGCGCCTCGCCAGCCGACGTGCGCGCGCAGCGCAGCGGACTGTTTGCGAGCAGCCGCGCGCCGAACTGCTGCAGCGCGCCCGGCGCGCCGCCGAGCCGGTTCGCGACCGCGCCGCTGCAGAAGCGCCGCAGCGTCAGGCGCACTTCGTACTCCGCCGCGTCCGCCGCGAGCTGCGACGCGACCTCCAGCTCGACGAGCGGCGGCGCACGCGCCGTGCGCAGCGCGCTGAACCTTAGCAGCTCGCTCTCGCCAAACGGCGGGCAGTACCGCAGTCGCAGCGCGTCGCCCTCGCGCTGCGTCTCCGACACGAAGCCGGCGAAGCGCAAGTCCGGCGCGCGCTCCGCCGGCACCGCGACGGTCATGAGCACGTCGCACTCTTTCGCGACCGCGGAATTCACGCTCAGCGCGCCGTTGAGCAGCCAAAACGCCGCGCGCGGCGCCGCGCCTTCGCGCACGAACGTCAGGCCCGACAGCGCCTCGCGCACCGTCGCGAACGTGCGCTGCGCGGCGCCGCCGAACGGCACGTGCTTCTCGACGCGGTCGTCGCGCAGCACCGCGTCTGCGCGGTGCAGCATCGAACGCCCGCAATTCATCAGCCCGCCCTCGCGCGGCCCGCAGCTCTCGCTGCGCGCGCGCGCCGCCTCCGCCGCCGCGTCGAGCAGCTTGCTCAGCCCGCAGCGCTGCACGAGCGCGTCCAGCCGCGAGGCTTTCGAGCCCACCAACCGCAGCGGCAAGTTCGCGCACGGCGCCACGTACACGCCTTGCGCGTCAAACAGCGACTCCGTCACGGCGGCCAGCAACAGCGCGTCGCGCGCCCCGGCCTCGCGCTCTGGCTCGCCGCTGCCGCTCAGCGCGGCTCGCGTGTCGACCAGCGCGCGCCCGAGCTCCTGCGCCACCAGCGCCGCGTACGCGCGGCTCGGCCCGGCGAACAGCGCGACGCACAGCCCCGCTTCCGCGAACTCCGCCGCCGCCGGCGCGGACCCTTGCGCCGCCAGCGGCTGCGCATGCCAAACGTGTGCGTACAACTCTCGCTGGTCCGCGGCCGCGCGCACGCTCACACGCGCGAACGCTCTGCACGGAGAGGCAGCCATCGCGCCGATCTCGCAGAGTGAATTTTCACGAAAATATCTGAAATGAGCGGCGCAAATTCGCCGCGCGCGCGCGCCCGCGGACTGCTGAGCGACGCGGCGCTCGCCGCCGTCGCGCAGCTGCAGGATCCAGCCGTTTCGCAAGCCACGCTGCGCGAGCTCGTGCGCGCCACGCCGAACAGCGCGTACGCCTGGCACCGGCTCTTCCTCTCTCTAGACCAGCGCGCTTCGGCCTTGCGCGCCGAGCTGCGCTTCGCGCACGCCGCCGTGCTCGCCGCGCCCAAGAACTACCAGCCCTGGCGCTACCGCGAGAAGCTCGTCGGCGCGCTGCTCGCGCAGCGCCGCGACGTCGCGCTCCTGCGCGCCGAGCTCGCCGCCTGTCTCGAGCTGCTGCAGCTTGACGCGCGCAACATGCACGCGTGGAGCTATCGGCGCTTCACACTGACGCAGCTGCGCCCCAGCGCGGCCGACGTCCGCGCGGAGCTCGCACAGGTCTACGCGCTCGACGCCACGCCGCTCTCGAACAATAGCGCGAACGCACACGCGCTCTGGCTGCTCGCGCAGAGCGGCTGCGAGGCGCTCGCGTTGGCCGCGGCCGACGCGGCGCAGCTCGCGCGGGCCGCGGAGTTTCGGCTCACCGAGTCCGCCGTCTGCTACTGCACGGAGCTCGCCGCGCGCTGTCGCGCGGCCGGCGCGCAGCCCGCAGTTTGCGCGCCCGCGCTCGACCAGCTATTCGCGACGCTCGAAGCGCTCTGGCGCCGCGAAGCGCAGCCGCTGAACCTCACGCTGGACCTCGCAAATTTTGCGCACGCGCTCGGCCGCTGCGACGCCGAAGCGCAGTTCCGCGCCGTCGCCGCCGCGCAGCACGATCTGCGCATCACGCTCCCGCAAAGCCAGCGCGACGACCGCGCGCCAGCGCCTCGCGCGTGACGCTTGGCGCGTGACGCTTAACGCGTGACGCTTAACGCGTGACGCTTAACGCGTGACGCTTAACGCGCACGCGTGGCTCTCAGCGCGTGGCGTGCGCGCGCGCCGCGGGGCCCCAATTGGGTTCCGGGTTTGGTGCAAACATCGGCGCTTTGCGCTTCTGCGGCGCCGCCGCGCTGCTCCGCGCCGCGAGCGCGGCGAGGTCGCGCGCAGGCGCGGACTTCCAGTGCGCCGGCACCTGCGGCGCATGCAACTCGCCGGGCCGTGCCAGATGCTTCAGCACGTCCATCACGACGGCGTACGGCGCGTCCGTCTTCAACGCGCCAGGCTCGCGGTGGAACACGCTCTCGCGGTATCCGAGCCGCTGTAGCAGCTCGCGCACGGCGCTCTGCTTCGGCACGTTCAAGTGCGCTTCCGAGCAGACGTGGTCCAGCGAGTAGAAAAACGGCACGTCGGGCAGCTCCTGCTCGAGCGCGTTTAGCAGGCACTGGATCTTCTGCCGCGTCTTCGCGCTGAGATGCGTCAGCCGGTGCGCCTCGCACGCCGCCAGCGCAGCCGCCGCGTCCGGTTCGGGCGCTTCCTCCGCCTCGGTCGCGTCGCGCGCCGCGAGCTCTTCGGCGCAGTCCGTCGCGGCGACGCTCTTTGCGAACTCGCGCTGCAGCTCCGCCACAAAGCGGGGGTCGTGCAACCGCCCGAAGTACGCGGGGCCGCTCAGCGACACGGCGCTGTCGCACACCGGGCATCGCCCGCCGCGCGTCGCCGTGCAGAACCGGCCGCTCTCTGACCGCAGACTGGCGTCGGTCTCGCCGCCAAACGTTCGCGCCCGCGGCAGAGCTTCCGCGTCGGCGCGGGCCGCTGCCTGCGCTGCAGCTGCACTGCGTGCAGCCTCCGGCTCCGCGTCCTGCACACCCCGAACCTGCGCAGCGCACCCGCCGTCGCGTTCGCCACCGCGTTCGCCACCGCGTTCGCCATCGCGTTCGCCACCGCGTTCGCCACCGCGTTCGCCACCGCGTTCGCCATCGCGTTCGCCGTCGCGTTCGCCATCCCGTTCGCCATCGCGTTCGCCACCGCGTTCGCCATCGCGTTCGCAGTCGCGGCTGCGCGGGGTGGCAGCGACGCTGCCGACGACTGCTTCCGCGCGCCGGTTGCGCCGCTTGGCCTTGCGTGACTCCGCGCGCCGCGATTCCAGCCGGTTGAACGGCTGCAGCTCGAACCACGCGCAGTTCACGCACTTCCGCACCACGCCGCTCGTCGCGCCGAGCAAGCAGCACTGCGCGGGCCGGTCCGTCACGCGCACGAACAGCCGCACGTAGAAGTCCACCGACAGCGAGAGCAGCGGCTCCACGTGCCGCCGGTGCTGCGCCGCTAGCGAACACACGTGGAACAGCAGCACGCGCAAACTCATCTCGTGCAGAAACGGCGCCTTCAGCGTGCAGCCGCCGTAGCGCGCGAACGCGACCGCCGGGTCGTTCCCGCCGAGCACCGGCATGTCTGTGCTCGTGAAACACAGCAACCCGCCGTCCGCGACCGCCTGCACCGCGCTCGCCGAGAACGGCGCGATCGAGCCGTACGGGTCCACGTCAATCACGTTGAACCGCGGCGCGCCGCTGTACAGCGACTCGTACAGCAGCTGGTTCGCGTCCTTCCGCGTCACGTGCAGCAGCGCCGCAGGCACGCCGTTCAGCGCGCGGTTGCGCATGCAGTGCGCCGCCGCGGTCGCGCAGCAGTCGTTGCACGTCACGCTCTCCAGCACCGCGCGCGGCAGCTCCGCGCAGTAGCGCAGCGAGCGCACGCCAGAGGCGCCCAGCGGCTCGCACACGCGCAGCGCAAACGCCGCGCGCGGCCGCTCCGCCGCCGCGCGCAGCCGCTGCGCCGCGTAGCACTTCAACACCAGCAGACTCAAGTCCCGGTTGAACACTTGCGCCGGGTTGTAAAACAAGCTCTCGCGCGGCGCGCTGGCCTCCGCGGCGACGAAGTGCAGCGCCGACTTGTAAATGCGCACTGCGCCCTCCGCGAGCTCCGGCTCCGCCGCTCCGCTCTGCCGCATTCCAATTAATTTGCCGAAATTGCTACGACTTTATCGAAGGCTCGACGACGCGCTTGCTCGCGTCGAGACTGCTCAGCTCCAGCTGCAGCCGGTACTTCGCGAACTCGTCCGCCTCCGCGTCCGCCGGCTCCGCAACCGGCGCGCCCTTCTCGCCGAACGTCGCGAGCACGTCTAACGCGCGCAGCGGCAACCACGGCGGCACGGAGACCGGCTTCTTCACCGGCAAGCCCTTCACAATGAAATAGTTCGGGTCGCAGTCGTTCTTCAGGTTCAAGTTGTCCAGCTTGATCAGGTGCCACAGCGACGACTGCTGCGTCGACACGCGCCCGTTCACCGTGAACTCTCCGAAGGTCTTGAGCCCGCCCGCGTTCTCGGGCACTTGCGCGCCCTGCACGCGCAGGTTGAACAAGTAGTTCGAGTACGCGCTCACGCCCGGCACCTGGCTGCGCGACTCCGCCTTCGCCGCGAGCTCCAAGTCGGTGCGCGCGCTCTCGTCCGTCACGTTCATCACGACCATTTCGTCGTCGAAGCACTCGTAGCTCAGCTTCGGCGTAATCACGCTGCGGTCGCTCGGCGTCTTCGCGCTCAACATCGCGAACGCTGCGTCCCAATAACTCGCGGGCACGTCCACCGGCGTCTCGCCCGGCCGCTCGCCGCCGCCCTCGTACAGGCAGTCGACCGCCGCTGTGAGCGCCGCGCCGTTCGGCAGCACGCTCGCCAACACGCTCCCGGGCTCGCTCGCCGGCCCGCTCGCCGTCCGCGCCGCGCTAAACGCCTTGTACGCCGCGAAGTCGAACAACCGAAAGCCGTGCAGCACGTCCGCTTTCGTGATCGTGCTGCGCTGGTTCACCTCCGCGAGGTGCCGCGCCTGCTGCAGCAACCCGCGGCAGAACGCGCAGATGCGCTGCGCGCGCGCGCGCAACACGCCGACACCAGCGACCACGCTGCCCTGCGTCCGGCGACTCTCGCGAAACAGCAGACTGCGGAACACCAGCTCCTCGGCAATCGCCAGGAGGCTCCGCTCCTCGCCGACGTCTGCGGCGCAGCTGCGCAAACTTACTTGGCAATACGTCGAGACGCACCGGGACCGCGATCGGCCCTCGCTCTTGCATCTGCTCGCGGCTCGCCTGTCAATTATTGCGACCTTGCAAATTTATTTTCGCTGTATTCTGCATGAGCGGAAATGCCGCGGGTCGCTAACCTTTTCGGTGAAGAGTCAAGCGCAGAACTGCGCGCTCTGCAGCCGGTCGTTTACCGGCGCTTCCTCGCGCGAGACATCTTCCGGCTCGGCACCATCAACGTCGATGAGTTCACCAGCTCCTTCTCGCCCTCGTTCTACGCGCAGTTCCTGCTGAGCGACCCGCTGCTCTCGCGCGTCGCAGAAGACCCGTTCGGCAACGTCGTCGGCTACGTGCTCGGCTTCGTCAAGCGCGAGTCGCGCTGCCGCTGCGTAGCGCACGTCTGCGCAATCTCCGTCGCCCAGTCACACCGCGGGATCGGCGTAAGCGACGCGCTGCTGCTGCAGTTTCGCCAACACGCCGCCGAGCTCCGGTGCAACGTGATCACGCTGTACGTCAAAACCTCCAATGAACGCGCGCTGCGCTTCTACGAGCGTCACGGCTTCGCCACCGTCAACACGATCCCGCACTACTACGGCGAAGGACACCATGCGTACTTCCTCGAGTTCAAGCTCGCTACTTGAATACTTGCAGCACGTCTTCGTCCGCCAGCCGGTGGTCGAGGCCCACTTGCTGCGGCACGTGCTTCACGGAGACGCCCCAGACCAGCGCGTACTTGCTCTCGGTGACCAACCCCGTGTGGATCTGCGCCAGCGCCGCGCGCACGCTGAAACCGCCGCGCGCCTCCGTCAGAATCACCGGGTCTTCGAAGTCTGGCTTCTCGCCTGCTTTCTTCGTGTACACGCGCGCCAGCCGCAGCCGCGCCCAAATCAGCTCAAGCAACAAGTCCAGGTTCCAGCCGCGGTTCGAGCTGATGCACACGGCGTCGCGGTCCGTCGCCAAGCGACTGATTTGCTCCAGCGAGAGCATGTCAACCTTATTGTACACGTACAGGCACTTCACGTAGCGGCGGTTGCCTTCGAGCGTGTCGATCAAATCCTCTAAGTCGTAGTCGCCTTTGAACAACACTTCCGCGTTGCACAGCTTGTACTGCTCGAGCACCGAGCGCACGGTGCCTTCGTTGATTTTCGTGCACTGCACGGTCGAGTGGAACTTCACGCCGCCAGTCTTGTTTGGCGTTACGCGGATGTCCGGCAGCTCGCGGTTCAGCCGCACGCCGACGCTCGCCATCTCGTACTCGAGCTTCTCGCGCTGCTGACTGTCCCGCAGCGGGTCGAGTACCATCAGAATCAAGTCTGCAGAGCGCGCCACGGCAATCACTTGCTTGCCGCGACCCTTGCCCTGCGCGGCGCCCTCGATGATGCCCGGCAAGTCCAGCAGCTGCAGCGTCGCGTCGCGGAACTTGACCACGCCAGGCACACACGTCAGCGTCGTAAATTCATAGCCCGCCACCTCGCTCTTCGTGTTCGTCAAACTGTTCAAGATCGTAGACTTGCCCACCGACGGAAACCCGAGCAGCGCGATCCGCGCGTGTCCGAAGCGCTGGACGTCAAACCCTTCGCCCTTCGCGCCGGCGCTCGCGTTTGCCTCCGAGATGAGTTGCGAGCGGTACTTGGCGAGCTGCGCCTTCAGCCGACCAATGTGGTACTCGGTCGCCTTGTTCTTCTGCGTCCGCGAAATTTCAAACTCGATTTCATTGATGCGCTGCGCCCGCACCGCGCGAACGTACCTCTAAAATGCCCATTGCTGTGGAACTGCCGATCGGCTAACTTAGCGGAATCGCATCCAACTGTTTTAAATCTAAATTTTCTTAATTGCGACTTACTGGGCAAAAGTTGCAGCACCGTCGAGCGGTAGCTCACTTGCAGCTCGTCTTCGAGCGGCGTGTTTTGTAAATACAGCTGCGGCTGCGCGGCCGACACTTACCACTCGCAGTTTCGGCAGCGTTTGCAGCACCTTCACATCGTCGAGGCTCGCTAAGCGCGAGTCGTTCAGCCAAAGCTCCTCGATACTCGAGTTGTGCGACAGCCCTCTCACGTCGCTCACCTTTGAAGCCGAGGCATCCAGGAGGCGCAGCGATTTCAGCGCTGCGAGATACTCCGGAAGCTCGGTGATCGGGTTCTGCGAGACGTAAAGCTCTTCGAGATTCGGGCAGTTCGCCACCAGTGAAGCGTCCCACTTCGCAATGCGGTTGCACTGCAGCGAAAGTATGCGCAGCTGCGGGAACTGCGCGCGCAGCTGCATGCTCGAAAGCCTGTTGCGTCCGAGCCACAGCTCTCGCAACCCGCGCAGCGCGCCGAGGTTTTCGACTGTCTGAATTTGGTTGGACCCCAGCTCGAGCGTTTCAAGCGCAGTGAGCGTGTCTAGATTCTCGATGCGCGCAATTTCATTGCTGTTCAAAAAAAGTTGCTTCAGTTTGCGACAGTGTTCGAGATTTTCGATCTTGCGCAGCTTGTTGAACGCGAGGTCGAGGTACTCGAGCTCCGTCTGCGAATCGAGCCCCTCTATGCGCGCGATCAGATTGCGGTACAAGTCCAGCGATCGCAGCCGAAGGTGCTCGAGGTTCTCGATCTTGCGCACCAAACAGCAGGTGATCGCGAGAGCGGGGCAGTTTGCGGGCACGTTTTCAATGACTGCAACACGCTCCATTGAAATGGCGATCGAACCGTCGTCGGCCTGTTCAGGGTCGAAGTCTACGCCGATCCGCAGCAGCGGCACGGCCGCGTTCGCGCCATCTGGCGCGGGGCAGCCTCCGCAGCTGACGTGGCACTGATTTTCCTGCATTTTCTAATTGCCAAAAAGACGGCAATTTGCTCATGAGCCGCGCACCGCGGCCGCTCGTGGCGTACACCGACGGCAGCTGCCGCGGAAACGGCGCCCGCGACGCGCGCGCCGGCTTTGCGGTGCACTTCCCAAACGGCGAGCTCTGTGACATCATGGGTTCCTTCGCGCCAGGCACCAACCAAAAGGCGGAGCTGCTGGCGCTTTACGTTGCACTGAAGGCCGTGCGGCGCGCGTTTGGCAGCGCGCAGCCGCTGCAGCTGTTTAGCGACAGCAAGTACGCGATACAGTGCTGCACGACGTGGCTGCCGAAGTGGCAGCGCAACGGATTTAGAAACACGAAAAACCAGCGCGTAGTCAACGAAGACACGATTCGGAAAACTTCGGCGCTGTTGCAAGAAATGCCGCACGTGGAGCTGCGGCACGTGGCGGGCCACTCGGGCTCGCGGCCAAATGCACGCGCGGACTGGCTCGCGAACGCGGCGTATTAAATCATTTTTCGATTTTTTCTTCCACTCGCGGAGCAGGTTGTCGCACGCGTCGGAGAATTCCCCCGCGCAGTGCATGACTGAGAAAGCGCCGAAAGTGTACAAGGCCGAGTTCACGGCCGAGCTGCTCGAGTTTCCAGACGACGGCTACGACTACGAGCAGCACTTCACGGACCGCGCGCAGCTGCCGTGCGAAGGCACGCAGTTCTGCACGGAGGTCGAAAATCTGGCGGAGCTCGCCAAAGACCCGGTGTTCTCGGGCGAGCTCGAGAAGCCGTTAAGCGAGTTCAGCGAGGAAGAGAAAGAAGTGCTGCGCGCGCTGCAGAGCGGCGACGATCGCGCAGACGACGCGGCCCAGAGCAGCGAGATCAGTGACTTCGTGTACGACTTGGTCAACGCAGAGGCGCAGGTCTCGAACATGGAGCAGTACTACTGGAACCCGCGCCAGAAGCACGCAGTGCCGCTCGTCGCCGCGGAAGCAGCGGGCGCGGCGCGACTCACCGAGCAGAACCTCAAGCGGCTGAATGAGACCTCAAGGAACGCGGCGGGCGCGCTTCGCACGCGCTTCGCCCTCGAGGCGGCGAGCAACCTGGGCACTAGCAAGCGCGTGCTCTCTTCAAGCGAGCAGCACGACTCCGCGTCCATGTCCGAGCTAGACTTGTACTCGGCGGCGCTCGTCGCAGAGTTCGAGCCGCACGCCGATGACGCCGCTTCTGCGGAGCTGCTGCGCGCGACGGCGGCCGAGAGCGACGAGCTGCGGCGCGCGACTGCGGCGGAGACCGACGCGCTGCGCGCGCAGAAGCTCGCGGCGCTGAAGCGCGCGAGCCTCGAAAAAACGCGCGAAATGCTGGGCGCCATGTCGGACTCCGCTGCCAGCTCGCGCTCCGACGCGCGCTCCAGCGCCTACTCCGGCGCAGCCGCGTAGCCAGCAGCGCAGCGCAATTATAATTCAATATCCACTGGAAAAAAAACGCCAGTATGAGTGTAAGTGCGCTGGCGCGCTCCGCAGTACGCGCTCGCGGCTACGTGGAACGCGCGCTACGCGCAAGACCCGTACACCTTCGAGTGGTTCGGCGGCTGGCCGCTTGTCAAAGAGTTGGTGCGCGAGCAACTGAAGTCGCGTGAGGCGAGCATTTTGCACGTCGGCTGCGGCACAAGCAACTTGGACATTGACCTGCACGAAGAAGGCTACACACGGGTCACCAACATAGACTTTAGCGATGTAGTTATTCGGCTGAAGCAGGAGAAGTTTCCCGCGCTGAGCTACCGCGTCGCGGACGTCACGCAGCTGACCGGCTTCGCGTCGGAGACGTTCGACGCGGTGCTCGACAAAGGCACGCTGGACAGCGTGATGTGTGCAGAGAACGCGATGCGCGAGACCGACGCAGCGCTCAGCGAAGTTTCGCGCGTGCTGAAATCGGATGGCGTGTTCATGAGCTTCAGCTACGCCATCCCGTCGACGCGGTTGCACATTTTCGACAAGCCCGCGCTGCGGTGGCAAGTTTGCTGCCGCACGATCCCGCGCAGCGTGGTCGTAGAAGGCGCGCCAGTCAACAAGCCTTTCTACTGCTACATCTGCCGCAAGCGCGCGCCCGAGCGCAGCTAGCGCGGCACCTGCAAGGCTGCTTTCGCAGCGGTTGGCGCGTCTAGGCGCCGCCGTCGGCCTTCGTGAGCATTTCAATTTGCGTGTGGTAGTAGCTCTCAATCGCGCGCAGCTGCTCCATGTCGTTGTGCGTCACGAAGTTGATCGCAACGCCCTTCTTCCCGAAACGCCCCGAGCGGCCAATGCGGTGCAAGTAGTTCTCCAGCGAGAACGGCAAGTCGTAGTTGATCACCAGCGAGACCTGCTGCACGTCGATGCCGCGCGCGAGCAAGTCCGTCGTGATCAGCACGCGGCTGGAGCCGCTGCGGAACTCCTTCATGATGCTGTCGCGCTCTTTCTGCGGCATCTCGCCGTGGATGCAGCTGACCGTGTGGCTGTCGTCGATCATGCGGCGCGCCAAATCATCCGCGCGCTTGCGCGAATTCACGTAAATGATGCACGCCTGAATTTCGATGGTCTCGTACAAGTCCGTCAACACCTGGTACTTGCTGCGGTCGTCGTGCGACTGGATGTAGTATTGCTTGATGCCTTCGAGCGTCAGCTGCTCCTTTTTGACCAGAATCATCTTCGGCGACTTCATGAACAGCTTCGCGAGATCCAAAATATCGCTCGGCATCGTCGCACTGAACAGCGCGATGATCGCCTCCTCCGGCAACTGCATCAAAATGTCGTGAATCAGCTTCTTGAAGCCTCGCGAGAGAATCTCGTCCGCCTCGTCGAGCACGCAGATCTTGATGTGCGCCACGTTCAAGTAGGAGTCCTCCGGACGGGCAGGCGGGCGGTTGCTTCGTCCGCGGCTCGTGCGATCCTTAGTCATCATGTCGTACACACGACCCGGAGTTCCGACCACGATGTGCACGCCGTTCTCGAGTGCCGTCATGTCCTCTTGCACGTCTGTGCCGCCGACGCAAGCTTGGCACTTGACGTTCAGCATCTCGCCGAGGCTCAACACCACGCGGCTCGTCTGCACCGCGAGTTCGCGCGTGTGCGACAGAATCATCGCCTGCAGCCGGTTCTCGGTGTGGTTGATGATCTGCAATACGGCAATCACAAACGTCGCGGTCTTGCCAGTCCCCGACTGCGCTTGCCCGATGGTGTCGTGCCCCTCGATGATGGGCTTGATACCGCGCTGCTGAATCGAAGACGGTTTCTCAAACCCGTAGCCGTAAATGCCCTTCAACAGGTCTGGCTTCAGATTCAAATCTTCGAACCTCTTCGCTACGAAGTCCGTGTCGTCCTCCGCGATGTAGTCAAACTTCCCACTCTCCGTGCCCGAGGCCGGCTCGGGTTTCGAGATTTCGCTCCTATACGACTCTGCTGCGTCCGCCATCTTAAGTCAAAATTAATTTGCTGGACAAAAACGGAATTCATTTCGCGTAAAAGACGTTACCCGTCAACACCGCAATCGGCCCAAACCGTTTGCTCCTCCGCACTGCGGCTCCCGCGCTGCGCCCCCCGGACTCCGCCGTGCCGCTCCGCCGCGCCTCTTCTGCCGCCGCGCTGCTCCGCCGCGCCTCTTCTGCCGCTGCGCCCAGCTCTGCCTCGCGCGCATGGCGCGCAGCCGCGAGTTGCGCCGCGCGCAGCGGCGACTCGCCACTCGGGATTGCGCGCCGCAACTGCATTCAGCACGCACGCACTTACGCTATCCACCTTCGCGCGCAGCGCGTCTTGCAGCGCGCGCTCGGCGCGCGTGCTCTCTAGCGCCGTCTGCATCCACGCGTAAGCCACTTACCTTCGCGCGCAGCAGCTCGGGCATCTCCGCAGCCTCGGCTGCAGACTTGCCGACAAACTGCTGTGTCCACGCGGCCGCAGCGCCCGGCGGCTCCTCCGCCTCTTCAGCGCGAACTGCCTTCGCGCACGCGACACTTACTGAGCGCGTCTGCGCGCCGACCCTCGCGCTCCTCTTGGCTCAGCGCCTCCCCGCGCCGCACCGCGAGCAGCGCCCCTAACGTCAGTGCGCCAGCTAATTTCGCGAGCACGCGCATATTTCTAATTTTTCGACCCGCGGCTCGCCGTCGATGAACTCTCCACCCCCCGCACAGACCGATTCTGACGATGCCTACGGCCTGTCCGAAGTTTTAAAGCAAGGGTGGGTGCTCAAGCAGAGCCGCCACTTGCAGGACTGGCGTCGCCGCTGGCTCGTGCTCACCGCGACGCACGTGCTCAGCTTCGTCGACAGCAACCTCGCCGTCGGCAAGCCGACCGCAGTGGTCGAACTCGGCGCCTGCAAAACCGTTCGCAGCTACAGCAACGCGAAGTACAAGCACGGCTTTGAGCTGATCACCGACGAAACGACGCTGCGCATCGTGACCAACACGCTGGTGGAAAAGGAAAACTGGATCGCGCTCGTAGGCAAGCAGAGCCTGCGCTCGCTAGACTCTTACCAGGTAACCGAGGAAAATATAATTTACTGAAGTTGCAAAAGCACTCCTATTTTTCAGCAAAACCGGCGCGTTTTTTGCGAACCGCGCGACTTTCGCTGACTGAGCAACTGCATGAGCTCGCTGCGTTCGCTAGGCGACCGGCTGCAGCGACTGCGCGCAGAATTCGCGGCGCTGCAGACGCCGCCGTCCGTGCCGACTGCCTTCGACCTCTCCGCGCTTACCACGCAACTGAACGCGCTGCGCTCGGACTTGGTGCTTTTCCAACGCGCGCGGTCCTCCGCGGAGTACGATCTGCGCGCGTTCGACGCACTGCGCGCGGACGCTGCGAGCCTCGCGCGCCAACTTGCAGACTGCGCGCGCGCCGAGCGCGGCGCGGACGACGAAGATCTTCTGCGCGCGAACGCGCACCGACAGAGCCTCGTCATTACGCTGAATACCGCGGACGAGGCGCTCTCGAAGGCGCAGTTCACCGTCGGCTCGCTGCAGCGCCAAAACGCGCTGCTCAACAAATCCCGCTTCGTCGCGGGCAAAGTCAGCAACCTGCTTTTTGAAAACAATCGCGTCTTCGCGAAGATCGACAAGCTGCAGTTCCGGCAGAGTGCGGTGCTGGCGCTAGTCGTGCTCGTCTGCTTCTGGTTCTGCGTGCACGGGCTGCTCGGCTAGTTGCGGCGCGCTCACGCGTCGGCCAGCCCTTTGTTGCGTTTCAGTTTCTGGATTTTCTTCATGCGGTAAAAGTCTTCGCGCTCCTGCTCGTCGAGCTCCTTGCCGATGTACGAGATGCTTTCTTCGTAGCGCGGGATCACTATCGACTCGAGCGCGTTCACGCGTCGGTTGGTCACCTTGATCTGCTTCGCCAGATTCGCGAGATTCGCCTGCATCGACGCCAGTTGTGCGATCATCAGCACCACTTTGCCGAAGATCTCGCTCGTGCGTCGCAGATTCTGAAAGCCGCGCAGCAGCGACCAGTGCCCCGACTTGTTCGCGTTCTTCTCGCGCACAATTTTCAAGTTCACGATCCGCACGCCGGCGATCAGCTCCGTTTCGGAGCTCAGCAGCACCGTCGGCTCGAGTTCGCTGCTCAGAATCTTCTGCTTCCAAGGGTACGTCACTTCCACGTTGAAGTTGGTGCGCGCAAGCTCCAAAAAACCGTTGCGCAGCTCTTCGTTCAGCACAACCCTCGACTCCGCGAGCTCGCGCTGCAGTGCGCGACGTCGCATCGTCAGCGCGTCCATCTTCGTTTTCAGCAACGAATGGCCCTGCGCCGCAGACTTCAGCTTCTGCGTAAACTGCTGCAGCATCCTAAGCGACGCGCGCTGCAAACCTACATCCGGTTGGCTATCACATTTTCTGTTGACATCGTACGAATTTCCGCAGTGCTGCCGGGAAAACTATTTAATCAGCTGCGAATGCGCTATGCGCCAGACGCGGCGACCTATTTATTAGAAAATATACCCTTCCGCGCAGTGGACGCATGGCAGTCGAAGAGGAAATCAAAAGTCTTTGCCGCGACCTGCAGGTAAGTTTCCCGCACTGCGCCGCAGCGTCCAACCGCCGACGTGCTCCGCGCGCTGCGCAAGATTGACACGCTCGTCGGCGACGCCGTCACGCCTCAGCTGTTGCTGAACACTCAGGTCGGCGTTTCGGTGAACGCGCTGCGCAAGCACGAAGACCCCGAAGTCAAAGCGCTCGCGTGCGATCTCAAGAACAAGTGGAGGCGGCAGGTCGCAGCGGCCGCGCCGCCCACACTGCGCAAGCGCAGTCCGCCCGCAACGGGCCCTCCGCCAAAACGCACACGCGAATCGGCTGACGAGTCCAGCCCGCGCGCCGCAGACTTCGCGACCGCTGCTCCGGGCAAAAGTGTGCGCGTGCCCGAAGCCACGACGTCCGCCGCGAGCGCGGAGTACCGCGGTCCGAAGTGCAATAACAGGCTGCGCGATCATCATCGCGTGTTTCTATACCGCAAGTTTTTGGCCGGCGCCGCGCCGGAGCTTCGCGCCAGCGCGGACGCGGAAAAGCTCGGTGAGCTCATCGCAGAAATTGAGGCTTTCTGCTGGAAACACCACGTGCTTGAGCGCGCAAGCGAAGAAAATTACAAAGCGCAGGTGCGCGCGCTGTGCGCGAACTTCGGCGACGCGCGCAACGCCGCCTTCAACGAAAAAGTTTACAACGAGACGCTGCTTGCGGACGCGCTCGCGACGATGTCCTCGCTCGAGATGGCCAGCGAGGAACGGCAGAAGAAGCTCAGCGGCCTGCGGCGACAGGCCGTCGAAGCCGTGCAAAGCGACTGGGACCTGCGCAACCTCAAACGGAAAGAGGGCCAGTACAGTTGCGGCAAGTGCAAAAAGACGAACACCACGTATTACCAAATGCAGACGCGCAGCAGCGACGAGCCAATGACCACCTACGTGACCTGTCTCGACTGCGGCAAACGCTGGAAGTTTTAAACAGTAACGCTCCGAATATCTTTTTTAATTAGAGCTATTTCTATATTTCTTAGTCTCTAATATGGTCGCGGCAGTTGGTGGACAGGATTCTCTCACGACGATCAGTCTGTACGTCGGCGACTTGCACCCAGAAGTCAATGAGACCACATTGTACGACAACTTCAACACGGTGGGCCCGGTGGCGTCCATCAAGGTTTGCCGAGACATGGAGACGCGCAAAAGTTTGGGTTACGCCTACGTAAACTACCACACGGTGCAGGACGCGGAGAAGGCTATGGAGCTGCTCAACTTTACGGAAATCAACGGCCGCCCTTGCCGCATTATGTGGTCGCAGCGCGATCCTTCGTTGCGCCGCAACAACGCGCTGAACCTCGTGGTGCGCAACCTAGACCCTTCCGTGGACAGCAAGGCGCTGTACGACGCTTTCAAGCGGTTCGGACCCATCGCGTCGTGCAAAGTGCGCCGCGACGCCGAAGGCCGCAGCTGCGGCTACGGCTTTGTACAGTTCGAGTCGCTGCCCGTCGCCGACGAAGCGATGCAGCGCATGAACAACACCGAGCTAAACGGCAAGAAAATCTCCGTCGTTAAGTTCCAACGCAGTTCCGAGCGGCAAAGTGGCAAGCAGCTCTACTTCACCAATGTCTACACGAGAGACTTCTTTGACTCCTGGACCAAGGACATCTTCGAGAAAATTTTCTCGCGCTTCGGACCGGTGAACAGCGTGTACCGCGCGCAAGACTCGAAAAACCGCCCCTACGCGTGTGTAAACTTTGTGCAGTCCGAGCACGCGAAGGCCGCCATTTCCGCGCTACACGGCGCGCAGTTCACCGAGGCCGGAGAACCGGTCGCGGCGCGGTCCGGCGGCGCGTCGGAACCCACGCCCGCGACCGAACCGAACACCGCGTCTTCCACCACTGCCACAACCGCGCCAACTTCTGCCGCCGAGTCTACGCGCGAAGCGGAGTCCGAGGCCGGCGCTGCCGGCGGCGTCGCGAACAAAGTCACTGACAAAAGCCCCGACGCCGACGAAGAAGAGGCCGCCGGTGCGGCGGTGCCCACTTGCACGCTGTTCGTGTGCCGCGCCATCGACAAAATTGAGCGCCAGAACGGCCAGAACAAGAACGTCGGAGAGGGCGCGACGCGCACGCAGCCGACCATCTCGCTCTACGTCAAAAATTTCCCGGATTCGTTCACCGAGAAAGATCTGAGTGCGCTCTTCGAGCCGTACGGCAGCGTGACCAGCGTCGCGATTTTGAAGGACGGAAACATGATCTCGCGCGGCTCCGGCTTCGTCAACTTCATGCGCTCCGACGAGGCTGCAGAGGCCATCGCCAACTTGAACAACCGCCTTATCAACAACAAGCCGCTAACCGTCTGTCTGCGCCTCGATGAGAACAAACGCGGTTCGCGCTTCCGACGCAACCACCACTACAACCCACCGGTGCAGCAGTACGTTGCGAGCCGAAACGCGCGCCCCGCAGCCTGCGCGCCCGAGGAGTACATGGAGTACTGGGCCAGCAACAAGGCCTACGGCTGCTACGGCCACCAGCCGCAGCCCCAGCCGCAACCCGCCTACATGTGGAAGTCGCAGATGATGCACATGCCGCCGCCCTCCGCTTACCAGATGCCTGCGCCGCAAATGCAGCCGCGTGCAGCCGATGTCTACAAAGGACAAAACAGCAAACAAGTCATAGGCGAGCAGCTCTTTCCGATGGTATACAAGCACGAGCCGCGGCTCGCAGCCAAAATCACCGGCATGATGCTCGACATGAACATCTCGGAGTTGACCTCTCTGCTGTCTTCCGAGGAAATGCTCAAATACAAAATTGAGGAAGCCAAACAGGTGCTTCGCAACGCGCACGGCAGCCTCGCGTGAGTGCTCTAGCGATATAGATTATTTCCGCTTTTCGATTTTCTCAAATTTCGCCGTTGCTAATCTTGTGCGATGTCCTCCGCGCCGCGCGACTCTGCAGCATGGGCAGCCGCGATCGAGGCGGTCTGCCAGCCTCCCAAGCTGATCGAGCTCACTCCCGAAGACGCTTCGCAGGAACTCGGCGTGCGTCTGTCCTTTCGCCGCAACCAGTACCACAACATGTTCGTAGAAGCGCTGAACGCGCTGCGTGGCGATGCTCTGCCGCCACTGCGCGCGGCCAGCTGTTTCGCAGCGCTTTTCACAAAAGACTGCAACAAGTTTAACAAAGCGCTGCTGGTCGACGGCGTCTGCGCCTACGCCATGCGCATCGACCCGCAACTAGGGCTCACGCTGCTGCTCGCGTTCGTGCCCGCGACAACCGACAACACGGTGCTCACGTTTCTGCTCTTCAGCCACGTCAGCTACCTGCTGCTCGAGCGAGACGACGCGGGCAGCGACGCGCTGCTCAGCCTGCGCAACGAACTGAACAACTTTTTGCACTCGATCTACTCGACCAGCTACGACCTGCCGCAGCTCGGCAAAAAGCACTTTTTGCTCTCAGAGTACCGGCTGCGTTTGGCGCAAACCAACTACCGGCAAGCCTTCGGGGTGCTGCAAGACTACTTCGAGAGCTTTGCTAACGACGACGTAGCCGCCAAGACTATGCGCGATTACTGGAAGGCCTGTGTGCTCGCTGACGACGTCTACGCGTTCGAGCAGGTCATCCGCGAAACTAGTACACTGCCTCACTACGAGGAGCACAAAGAAGACTGTTATATCGTCATCTTGCTCCTTCTGCAGTCCGGCGAGCTCGACATGCTCAAGCAGTATGCCCAGCTCTTGCGCAACTTCGAGGCGACGCCAGAACTGCACGCGAACGCCGACAAGGTATTTGCTAAAGCGCACGTGTTTGCTCTGATCAAGTTCATCTGCAGCGAGATCCAAACTACGCGCCGCATTAGCTACGCGCAACTCTGCGCGAAGATGCAGCTCGACGAAATCGAAGTGCAGCGACTGCTGCTGAAAGCGTTCACCGCCAAACTGATCGCGGGTCACCTCGACACGCTGCGCAAAGAGTTGCTTGTCACCGGCATCGCACCCGAGTCAATCAACAGCACGCTGCTGCAGTCTGCGCTCGGCATTCTGAAAAACATGATGCACAACGTGCGCGCCGTCCGGACTCAGCTGGCCACCTAGCGCGCAGCAATCAGTAGACCGCGGTCGTCTTAAACGGAATAGCAGCCGAACAACCGCGCAGCAAAAAGCACGGTGTAAGAAGCGAACAGCGACAGCGCACGGCGACAGCGCACGGCGACAACGCACAGCGAAAGCGCGCAGCAAGAAGCGCGCAGCAAGAAGCGCGCCTTAAAAGCGTGCGCGCACAAGTTTTTTTTCCTTTACTTTTCCGCCGCAGCGCGCTACTTGCAGATCTGCACGACGTCTTCGTCGGCCAGTTCGTGATCTTTGCCCACTTTTTGAGGGTTGTGTTTCACAGAACTGCCCCAAACCATCGCATATTTCAGCTCGCTCAGCAGTTTGCGGTGGATGCGGTTGCAAAAATCTGCGACCGTGCGGTGCGCGCGCCGCAAAATCACAGGCTCCGTAAAGTCCGGCACCTTCTTTTGCGGCTTAGTGTAAACGCGAATCAGTTCCAGCCGCGACCACGTGTAACGCACCAGTCCGTCTAAATTCCACTCATCCTTGGCGCTGATGAACACGGTGTTCGGCAACTTCGCGAGCACATCCAACTCTTCCACGGGCACTGAGTCGACCTTGTTCATTACGTAGATGCACGGCACATAGATGCGGTTGCCCTCGATCGCGTCAATTAGCTCGTCGGCGGTTGGATCGCACTTGAAAGAAATGCTGCAGTTGAGCAGCCGGTACTCGTGGCAAATTGACCGAATCGTCTCTTCGTCGAGGTGTGTGAGCGGCACGGTGCTCGCAAATGTCACGCCGCCCTTATCCTTGCGCACAATGTCGATTCGCCGCGGCTGCTTATTCAAGCGCAGGCCGAAAGACTCGAGTTCGTGCTCGATCTTATTCTTCAGCGTCACCGGCTTCGAGCAGTCCAGAATGATGTAAATGAGGTTGCACGTGCGCGCAACGGCAATTACTTGCTTGCCGCGACCCTTGCCGTCGACAGCGCCTTCAATGATTCCCGGCAAGTCGAGCAGCTGGATACGCGCGCCTTTGTACTTCAGAACGCCGGGCACGCACGTAAGCGTGGTGAACTCGTAGTCCGCCGCTTCGCTATACTGCCCCGTGAGTTTCGTCAACAGAGTGCTTTTGCCGACGCTCGGAAAACCGATGAAGCCGATGCGCGAGTCGCCCGTTTTCATCACATCGAAGCCCTCACCGGTGCCGCCGCTGGACTTCGACGCACCCTCAATTAGCTGCTGCCGCAGACGAGCCAATTTGGCCTTGAGCAGGCCAATATGGAAGTTGGTCGCCTTGTTTTTCTGCGTCCGCGCAATCTCACTTTCGATCTCCGCTATCTTCTGGAGCGTGCTCATCGCGCTTAATTCAGATAATTATTTCAAATGCTGCACGGCGGGAATTGATGCGCTAATGGGCGACACGCTAAACTTGGCAGGCAAAAAGCTTTATGTAGCACACGGTAAGTATTTCGCGCTAAGCCACAGACACCTACCTCGAATTTGACGAGCTGCTAGGCGTCGGTTCCAGCGGAGCCGTTTACAAGGTCGTAAAGACCCAAGTTCTGCCCGACCGCGAGCAAATCTCGACCGTCTACGCCGCGAAGGTCATTGACATTCGTCGCATTAAGCTCAGCGACCAATGGCAAAGCATTGCGGCGCAGGTCAAGCACGAAGTTCACGTTCTCGCCAACATTTCGTTCACCGGCATCGTGAACCTGCAGGGCGTGATTGACTCTGACGACTCACTGATCATGATCATGGACTACGTTGCAAACGGCGAGCTCTTCAACGTCGTCGCCGCGAACTTGCTGAGCGAGGAACACGTGCGGTACATCATCTACCAAATCGCACAGACGCTCGCATTCTTGCATTCGCGCAGAATCATCCACCGGGACTTGAAGCTGGAGAACGTGCTCGTGGACCGCGTCGTAGATGGCAAGTTCTACGTGGTGCGCGTCGCAGACTTCGGGCTGAGCAAGGGCTTGTTTAACAAGCTCAGTCTCGCTAGAACCTGTGTCGGCACGCCGCAGTACTGGGCGCCGGAAGTCATTCTGGCCGGCCGCGACGCGACGACCTATAGCTACTCGGCCGACTTGTGGTCGCTCGGCTGCCTCATGTACGTGCTGCTCACCGGAAAATACCCTTTCGAACACGACGCACGGATGGAAGAGCGCATTTTGCAAGGCGCGTGCGACTTCCGGCACGCGGCGCTCAAGCGCGTATCGCCGCCGTGCCTCAAGCTGCTCAAACGACTGCTCAACCCCGACCCGGCGAAGCGCGCGACCATTGCAGACGTGCTGAACTCGAAATGGCTATCCGCGCCATTCGCCGCTGCACTGCCGCCGCTGAAAGAAACGAGCCGCGCGCCGATATTGCTGAACATCGGTCCGCTCTTCTCGGGCGTGAACACCAAGCTGCACACTGTCGAGAAGCTGCCTTCGCTGCTCCCGTCGCGCAATCCGGGGGCTGGCAAGGAGCTGCAGCGCGTGCAGTCAGACGCGATCGATTTCGTGAACTCGTCGAGCTCGAACACCACCGAATTGGGCGACAGCTCGGTCGACCTCTCTCTCACGAGCGTAGTGGCCCGCGACGAGCAGCTGACATCACCGCCGCTAGTGGCGCCCGCGTTTACGGGGCAAAAGCTATGCTGCCGGCCCCTGCAGCTTTCGAGAGGCACGCGGGACGCCGCGGGCGTGTTGTCGAACGCCCTGCTGCGCCCGATGCTGAACAACCGAAAACTTTACTTAGACTACAACTGCTTTGCGAGCGCCGCGTCTCGGGAGCCGCGCGGCCAGGCTGCACAGAACTTCTCGCTGCCTGGCGCGCAGCAACGGCCGCTGCCAGACGGTGAGGAAGAGCGTCTGTTGCTCGCCAAGCGCCCGGCGGGCTCGTTCAACGCGCTGTTTTCCGCGTCGCAGACGCTGTACTACTTCCGATTTGCGCTGGTGAGCATCAACCGGATTTCGTTTTTCACGAAATCCGACTCCGCGGTAGCCAAGCACATGCACAAGTTGCGCGAACTGTTTTTCAAGTTTGGCGACGCCGCGGCAGCGGCGCTAGACGAACTGGCGCTGACGGCCAACGACCTTTGCAACTTGTGCGACGATTGCCTCGAGACGTATGACCCCGACAACCCGGTGCTAGCGGCCGCGCAGGTGGCGCAGCTGCAAACCTGGGTCGAGTCGCTGCAGCGCAGCTGCGCGGACGTGCAGCAGCTGCTGGCGGGCGCGCACGCGTTCATCAGTTCGCTGCTGGAAAAGACGGACGCGGCGGCGTCTGCAAGTCTGCGCAGCGCGGAGGAGATCAACCGTATCGTGCTGTTCTTGGTGAGCAACCGTTTAACGGTGGACCGGTTGCTTACGCACAGTTTGCCGAGT